TATTTTTTAAAAAAAGAACACAGAATTTATTCAGACTTGGCACTGGTTTGAGAGTGACCTGTAACTTAGAATAGCTGCACTGCCCTCAACCCCAGTCTTAAGCTCCAGGTGTCCCATCTCAACCACTAGTTCTTCACATACGCATTTTATTATTTGTACCCTCCAAAAAGAATTCTTCTTGGGAAATGAAAGCCAGTTTTAATTCCCTTCTAGGGCCTAACCCTGATAATCCCCAGACTTGGTGGAAGATTTTGGGTTTAGATCCATGGGGACACTTTGGTATTGAGAAGAAATCTTTTTTTTTTTTTTAATGTGCTAAAGATCAAACCCAGCACCTCTCACTTGCTAGGCAAGCGCTCTACTGCTGAGCCACAACCCCATCCCCAGAGAAGAGGAAATCTTGATCCAACATGATGTGTGATTGGTAACTCTTTATAATACATCCTATACAGAGGATGGGACCTGTATTCATGTAGTACAGTTAGTTGTACAAAATCATGATAATATCATTTGATTTATTATGTGCTGTTTTCTGTGCTCTTAAATAAAATAATCCTTCTGAACTCTCCTAGACCCGAAAAATCCTGTCTGCCTGTGAAAAGAACCCCACAGATGCCTACCAGCTCAATTATGACATGCACAATCCCTTTGACATTTGTGCCGCATCTTACCGACCCATTTACCGTGGAAAGCCAGTGGAGAAGTGTCCACTCAGTGGGGCCTGCTATTCCCCTGAGTTCAAGGGTCAAATATGCAGGGTTACTACAGTAAGTACTGCTTCAAATATGTATCTAGGATATTGAGGGGAGGGGAAAGAGAAAGAAACATGGAGGTTCTTTTCTCCTCTTGTATTTGCCTCAGCTCCTTGAAGCAATGCTACTAGAGAAAACTAGTTTCTCCCCACTGCTCCATCTCAGAAACAAACACCCATCTACTGTATTTATTGAGGAGTATAGGGAATAAGTACTAGGTTCTCAACCTCACAGATCTCTAACTTGGTCTTCTGTTTCCTCATTTACAGGTGACAGAAATTGGCAAAGATGTGATTGGTATAAGGATCAGTCCTCTTCAGTTTCGCTAAGGCCCCATTTGTGTGGGAAGCAGAGGAGTCAATAGCATATTCTTCCTTCAAAGAATTAGTCTTTGAAGTCTCTGTACCCTTCTCCTACAGCYACCCTTCAGATTATTGATATCTCCTTTTCTCTTCTTCTATCAAAGAATATCAAAACTTGACTTCATTGTTCATGAGGACCTCTCCTTTCCTCAAGGTGGTCATAGTTGTCATCACARTTGGCCTTGCCTTTCCAGCCTAGATCTTTTAAAGAACAAATGAAAACCTGTGACAGATATTTGTTTAGTAAATTCTTTCAATATTTATTCCTCTCCTCCCCACCACCTTTGTTTCCTTTCTGCTATAAAGGAGCAAGATGTAATGAATAAGATACCAGTTTTACTCAGCCACACCAAACTCTTAGATATTTCCCCATTTTCCTTGGGCATTATATTCCTAGGCAGGCACCCTCTGTGCTCAGAAACGTGAAGTCTAAGAAGAAATCATTTGGCTTTCAAAAATGCACACCACTTTCCATTGATTTGTCCTTTACAACCATTGTATTCATTTTTTTGTTTTCTCACACTAAATAAATTTCTACAATAGTTTCTTGGATTGCCATTTATTTTTTGAACATTTTTGTGCTCCTGTTCATATCCTGTAGCTGTCCCACCAAACTCTGAGAACTTTTACCACTGAGCTACATTCCAGCCCTTTTTCTTTTCCATTTKGAGACAGGTCTTGCTAAATTGCTGAGGCTGAATTCAAATTTGTGATCCTTTTGCCTCAGTCTTCCAAGTCACTGGGATTTCACACATGCACCACCACACCCAACTATCAAAGCAGATGTATTTTCTTCTAATATTTTTTTAATTACCTAAGTAATAAATACCATTATTATGGGAAAACATTTTTCATAGGGTATGTGTGAGGCATAGACCTAAACTGCTGCGAGAGTGGTAGAAAGCAAGTAGCTTCCTTATTCCTTATTTATTTTGTTTTTTGATATCAGAAGTTGAACCCAGGATCACTTAACCACTTTAATATGGTTAATCACTTAACCATATTCCCAGACCTTTTTATTTTTTATTTTGACACATCATCTTGCTAAATTGAACTTGGGATCCTCCTGTGTCAGCCTCCTGAGTCACTGGAATTACAGGCATGTGCCACTGGGCCTAGCCCCTATTTCATTTCTGTCATCTTCCATCTACTGCTAATTATAGCCAATAKTTGTTGGGCACCCACCACATATCTTAGCACCATTCTAAATATTTTCCTGCAATATACACTTATGATTAATTAGTATGTAGTACACTGTATATTACAATGATTACATTGGCAGTATAATGTTTTGCTTGTAGAAATTAGAATGATGTACCAGGCCTTTAAAATAAATAAATAAATATATATATATATTGCATTTGAAATTCATGCTTTTAGTAAAAACAATATATTCATATAGTTAAAAATGTCAATGTATCCTGTGACAAGTCTTACTCATATGCTTTCCCTGTGCCACCCAGGTCCTAACACCTTTCCCAAAACAGGTAACCACTGTTTTTTTTTTTTGTTTGTTTGTTTGTTTCTTTTAAATGTTTTTATTTTATTTATTTTTATGTGGTACTTAGGATTGAACCCAGTGCCTCACACATGCGATATAAGTGGTCCACCACTAAGCTACAACTCCAGCCTCAGGTAACCACTGTTATTAGCTGYTTATGTCCTTTCAGAAGCTTTTTTTATTTTTATGTGGTGCTGAGGATTGAACCCAGGGCCTTGCACATACTAGGTGAACACTCTACCACTGAGCCAGAGCCATAGTGCCCCCAAGCTTTTTTAAAAAAAAAAAAACAGTATTTGGGGCTGGGGTTGTGGCTCAGAGGTAGAGTGCCATGCATGAGGTACTGGGTTTGATCCTCAGTACCACATAAAAATATACTGTGTCCACCTATAATCAAAAAATAAATTACTAATAAAAAACACTAAGGATTTAACCCATAAGCATTTTACTACTAACATACATCACTGTTCCTTTATTTATTTGAGACAAGGTCAAATAAATTGTTGAGGCTGGCCTCAAACTTGTGAGAAACTGGGATGTGTTCAGAAACTTTTTGTGTATATATAAACAGTTTTGAATATGTCTCAAAAATAAAAAGGGCTGGAGATGTAGCTCAGTGTACGTGCCTCTATGTTCAATCCCAATACACCAAAAACAAAAACCCAGAAAAGCAGCCAGAAGGTGAATACTGAGAAGAGATGTTAGGAGTATCAATAGTAAACATAGAAAAAACAATCAATTTTAAAAAATAGTGCAAAGAAAGAATCATACTAGTATATTTCCAATTGCCCTTTGCTCAGTCCAAGGTCCCAGATTCACATTTTCTTACACTGAGTTCTAAGCTCCTGGCGTTATGACCTATAGTTTAACAGTTCTGATAGAGAATAGGAAATGAGAGATATCCAGCAGATTCAGCAGAGAAATGTGCCTGACAGGAGCCTGTGAGAAAAGAGTGACCAATGAGTGCCTACCAACTTTTAAGCCCYAGCCTAGGAGCTGGAGATACACAGCAACTATGGTAACAGCTAAAATCCTTTATTTGGCCATGTTTAAAATTCCGCTGGGGCTGGGAGGCAGAGAAGGAGAACAAYAAACAAGGTAAATAAATCTAAAGTGTGTCAGATAGTGTTCAGTGTTAGAAAAAGAAGTGAAGACAGAAAATGTGAGTTGGGGAGGGACAGAGGTTGCAATTTTATTCAGCTTTTATTTTTTACTTTGAGACAAGGTCTCACTAAATTGCTTAGGGCTTCCCTAAACTGTTGAGGCTAGCTTTTAATTTGTGATCCTCTGGCCTCAGCCTCCCAGCCAGTTGCTGGGATTAACAGGCATGCACCACCGCGGTGGGCTGTTTTTCATATGTTCGTTTTGAGACGGGGTCTCGCTAAATTGGAATTTGTTGATTCTTTCCTCTCAGCTTCCAGAGTCGCTGGGATTACAGGGGTGCACCGCCATGCCCTGTTCAAAGTCCAAGATAACATTTGAATGAAATACTGAAGAAAATAAGTGGGATGAGAGGAATGAGAGGACATGGCAGAATTGATATTGCACACTTATAATCCCAGCGACTCCGGAGGCTGAGACCAGAGAATCCAAGTTCGAGTTCGGCCTCAGCAATTTTGTGAGGCCCTAAACAAGTTAGCAAGACCCTGTCTCAAAATAAGCAAACAAAAAAATTAACAATTATGGGCTGGGGTTGTGGCTCAGGGGTAGAGCGCTCTAACTAGCACGTGTGAAGCCCTGGGTTCGATTTTCAGCGTTACATAAAAATAAACAAAATAAAGCTATTGTGTCCATGTACAACTAAAAAATAAATATTAAAAAAAAACCTAACAAATTAAAAATTAAAAGTACAGGGAATGTTGCTCAGTGTTAAAGCATTCCTGGGTTTAATCCTCAACATCAACTAAAGGGGGGAGTGGCTGGGGCGCAGCTCAGTGGTAAAGGGCTTGTTTGGCACCTTCTTCAAGGCACTGGGTTTAATCCCTGGCACCCAAAATGTCGGGGGGCGGGGTGGAAAATAGTATGAYATGCACCATCATTATCTTCTCAGTTATATATGAATAGATCTGGGGTTTTGTAGGCAATTTGTCTCAATGTGGGCTATCCAAAGCTCAGGAAGGAATAAAGAGCTTCTCTAGGTAAAGTGAGAAGTTAAGTGCAAAGAGTACAAGCCAGGAAAAAACCGGTTAGAAGATAATAGGAAGTTCTCCAGGCGAAACAGACACACAAACCAAAAACAAAATCACACCTCTTCCCGTCCCTTTAAAAATGGCGGTTCCCCCAAAGACCAATGATCCCATTGGCTGTATGAGGCAGAGTGGGCGGGAGCTAGGGGGCGGGCACGCTATAGCTGCCGGAGTCCAGCCTCCTACGGCAAGTCAGAGGCAGAAAGATGGCGGCCGCTCCGGAAGACTGTGGTGTTGGGGCCGAAGCGGACCGGGAATTGGAGGAGCTTCTGGAAAGTAAGAGCCTGTGATGGGAAAGGCCCAAAGGAGGCAGTTTTGAGGACCCATTCAGGGAAGTGACCCTGAGATATTTGAGGTGGAGCAGGAAAGTATCTTACGTGATTGGCGGGGGCGAAGGTCTGGCTGCGACCCCAAAGAACATCTCTGGGTCACCCTGTCCTCCTCCGCGGTGGGAGCTGGGGAGTTCACCCTGGGCCCCTCAGMTGCCCAGATCATTGATCTCCCTGCCGGGAGAAACGGTGCCCTGTAAAACCGTATTTGCGAGCCCCCTTCAAACCCCCTTGCATCAGGTTAGTAAATTCTTGAAGTGTAACTCCCCTAGGCCAGTAGCAGCTTTTGGTCCTCGGTGGGCAGCGAACCGGAGGGAGACTCACGGTTTACATACATTAACTCTTAAGCCCATAGGGCGTCCTTCTGTGCCTCCTCTTAACATAAGACACATCTTTTTTCCCTCCCAGTCCTTTCCCCTGTCTTTGACAAGCCCCCATAATTCTTTCATCTTGCAGTAGTTCAAGTAAACTCCTTTTCCATTATTTCGAGAAAATGAAGATGGACTGTTCATCCTCCTGAAAGACAGTGGATGTTCTTTTCTTTCTTAGCTTTTCCTTCACTCCTCTGTTGGTTTTCTGCCCAGAGTGGGGCTAGTGCCCTTTCCCTAGGCCTGGCAAACAGAGTGGTGGTGACAACACAGGCTCTTTAGGACAGAGGTGAATTTTTTTTAATCTCTTGCTCAGTCACAGAGATGTGAGCAGGCAGAAAAACGAACAGAAACAGTGAGGAGTGCCAAGTGACTCTGAATTGGCAGAGTTATCTGGAGAGATGAGACCAAAGGGAACTCTAGGAGCTTGCTGTGGGACAACTATATTGAAGAATAACATAAGAGAGTTTAATGCCCTCCCATAAAGTGCATGGAGTCCCTCAATTTGTACCAGCATCAGGACCAATGGAAATCTGGGTGGGACATCTTGTGCAGTCTTGCCAAAGATTATTCCCACTTTAAGGCTCCAAAGTGAGTTCAGGAGGATAAGGACATTTGTGTCCTCTGCTTTTGTTGGATATTTATATGTAATTTCTAGAAAATTATTAGTGTGTAGGGGTGGAAGTATTGCTGCAGAACTTCTTTTAACTTTCTCCTCCCAGTTCTGAGATGGACACTTGTTCCACCATAGGAATTTCTTTCCATTTGATTACAATAAATTTGGTAATACTGAGAGAATTGGAAGGCTTATTGATTAGTGGGCTAGAAAGGAGAGACTCCAAAAAAGGAGAAAACTTGAAGAAAGTTCACACTTTGGAAGATCATTTTCCCAATGCTTTGCCCATAAAACACCCAGCCTTGCATCTTCATCCATCCTCAACACACACACCATGTCTCTTGTCTCTGAAGGTGCTCTTGATGATTTCGATAAAGCCAAACCCTCCCCAGCACCCCCTCCTACCACCACGGCCCCCGATGCTTCAGGGCCCCAGAAGAGATCGCCAGGAGACACTGCCAAAGTATAAATTCCACCCCCTTAAGGGAGAGGGAGGGGATGGGCATGCAGCTCTGAGCAGAGGTGGGGCAGGCCCCTGTGGGCCAGAGGGGAGGGTGGAAGGGTGCTTTGGCCTCACACTGCTGAGTGCTCTTGCAGGCCTTAGTCCTTGTAAAACAGGGACCCAAGGTTGAGTAGAAGTATCTCAAGGATGTTCCTTGAGGAAAAGAGTAGGTTTAAGTGGTTGGATTGATTGATGCCACTTTATACCTTTCCCTCAATGGCCAAAAGCCTTTCTTGCTGTCCTAATGAGGAGAGGTAGATAGAATGTCCAGTGGAGGTTGGTAGGAGGGAGGTCCTACATTTCCTGGAGCTACTACTTGTCTTCTATTGGTAGAGTGCCGGTAGTGCATGCCATAAAGGATGCATTTTGACCACCCTCCCCTGCAGGATGCCCTCTTCGCCTCCCAAGAGAAGTTTTTCCAGGAACTATTCGACAGCGAGCTGGCTTCTCAAGCCACTGCAGAGTTCGAGAAGGCAATGAAGGAGTTGGCTGAGGAAGAGCCCCACCTGGTGGAGCAGTTCCAAAAGCTCTCAGAGGCTGCTGGAAGAGTGGGTAAGGAGGAGATCTAAGACAAAGGGAAATATCTAGACAGACCTAGTAAGTCTTTATTGCTTGAGAACACCAGGATTCTCAGTAAAATTGAATCAATCATAATGTTACAGCCATGGAATGGAGCGAGGCATTAGGAGGAAATATGAGAACAAGTTTAAGGAAAGGAATGAGATGTTATAAAATAATAAAAAATATTATCCAAAATTGACCATTGTAAAGGATGCAGTGTTATTGTAGATGTTACTGTGGAGAATAAACTGATATACAATCCATGTAGATTTAAGAAATGGCTATGAAGATAATAGAGTATTCAGAGATTTGAAGCAATAGTTATTTACATGCTTCATATCCAAGCTGGAAACAAAGTAATATAGTCAAGCAGTCAATTAAAATCTTAAATGATCCTGGTTGTTTTGATCTCTTCTAGGCAGTGATGCAACTTCCCAACAAGAATTTACTTCTTGTCTAAAGGAGACATTAAGTGGCCTAGCCAAAAATGCCACTGATCTTCAGGTTAGTGGGGAATGGGTAGGAGATCACAAGGGGCCCACTAGCAGTCTGTAAAGACATGCTCCTGGATATCTTCCAAGTCTATCCTTGCCTCACTATTTTGTTACAGGCAAGTTTAGATTGTTCTTTCCCACCTGAAAGAGTGGTAGCATCCCAGAAAGGCAGTATACCTGTTCACTTCTCTCTTGTCCTGACTAGAACTCGGGCATGTCGGAAGAGGAGCTGACCAAGGCCATGGAGGGTCTGGGCATGGATGAAGGGGATGGGGAAGGGAACATCCTCCCCATCATGCAGAGTATTATGCAAAACCTACTATCCAAGGATGTGTTGTACCCATCACTGAAGGAGATCACAGAAAAGGTTTGTGCCACTTGATCCTTTTCTTCTCACTCTCCATCTTATCAACTCATGGGTTGCTTTGCTCCAAACCTACCGTGACAATAATGAGTGTACAAGTCCATCTTTTTGTTCATTCTTTGCTTATTTTGTGGTGGTGGGAAGAGTTGGGGGGTGTAATATCTCTGAGCAATAAACCCACTACACTGAGAATCTCTGTGGTAGAAGGAGAAATCCTTCAGCTATCGTTTTCCATAAATGCTTCAAGACTTTGGGATTGTCTGATCAAACCCTTCTTGTATTTCTTACTTCATTTATCCAACAAGTATTCACTGGCTTTCTATTATGAACAATTTAATAAGAGTTCAAATGATGATCCCTTCCATCAAAGAGCTTATAATTTTACCCAGAGAGATGACATGAGCAACATGTGGCTAAATATGAAATGAATAGTATAGCAGTCAAGAGAYAAGGGTTTGTTTGGCCTAAGTCCAATAGTCAAGCTAAGAATGGCTTTTACACTTTTTTTAATATTTATTTTTTAGTTATAGGTGGACACAATGCTTTATTTTAGATTTATGTGGTGCCAAGGATCGAACCCAGTGCCTCACACATGCTAGGCAAGCGCTCTACCTCTGAGCCACAATCGCAGCCCCGGTTTTTACACTTTTAAAATTTTTGTTTTTGTTTTTGTTTTTGTTTTTTTGTGGTGCTGGGGACCTTGTGCAAGTGAGGCAAGCACTCTACCAATTGAGCTATATCCCCAGCCCTTAAAGGTTGTTAAAACAACAATAAAGAAGAATATACACTAAAGACCATATAGGACCCTCTAGACCTAAATATTTATTACCTAGCCCTTTACAGAAATAGTTTGCTAACATCTATGATAATAAATGTTAGTACAGCCAGATGATCTGATTGGAGTCAGTGCTATTTCTCATGATGAACTTGTTTATTTAGTTTTTCTTTCTCCTTTCCTTCACATTTTAAGTATTCTCATTCCCCTTCCCCACCCATTGTGCATTTAATTCTTCCCTATCCACTTTCTTTCCTTAGTATCCAGAGTGGTTGCAGAGTCACCAGGAATCTCTGCCTCCTGAGCAGTTTGAAAAATATCAGGAACAGCACAGTGTCATGGGAAAAATATGTGAACAATTTGAGGCAGAGACACCTACAGACAGTGAGGCCACTCAAAAGGCCCGTTTTGAGACGGTGCTAGATCTTATGCAGCAGGTAAGGCTTTCTCTTGCCATCTGCTCACTCATACTGTCTGCTTGGGTGTTTAGTGAAGAAGTTACCTAGGAAGGATATACTATACTGCCAAACCTGGGTGGAGGAGGGAGCACAAAAGAGTCCATATTGCAAGGTCAGAAGAAATCAGAGAGATTACTAAYCAGATTCCTTGTCAAGCTCCTCTGTTATTTTCTGGGATTTTTTTTTATCTTATATTTTCTATTTTCTAGCTACAGGATTTGGGTCATCCTCCAAAAGAACTGGCTGGGGAGATGGTGAGTATATCTTCTAGATTTTAATCTGAGCCCCCATTTCAACAACTCTGGTGATTCTACCTAAAGTAATAATTACGGCTGCTGGAGATGGACCTTCAGAAACTCCAGCCTGAAAAGTGAGCAATTATCTGAGTTCCTTCATCTCTTCTCCAGCCTCCTGGCCTCAACTTTGACTTGGATGCCCTCAATCTCTCAGGCCCACCAGGTGCCAGTGGTGAACAGTGTCTGATCATGTGAGACAAACATGTTTTCCTCCCTGAGTCCCAGCCATGGGAAACATCTGGAGTCAACAGAACCATTGGGAACCGAGAGAGACAGGAGTGTCATCTGCAGGAGCGGTTTGCCCACAGCCCTCCATAGTCCCATTCAAGATTGTGCCATACTGGCTGAGGCTTTTCCTCTGACTTTCTAGGAGTAGGATCTGTTTCACAGGCCATTTCTGTGAGCCCTGCTCGTGGTTTCTGCTGCTAGTAAAGACCCATCTACAAGCCAGGTGAAGGAAGGTACCCCTTTGGGGGAAGCACCTTCTTCCCTCTCCCAAAATAACGTTATACATGTCCACATTGATGTTCACTTTTACTTCCAGGGTCTTCGTGCCTTGTCTCTACTCCTTCTCTTGGATCTGGGGAGTAGGGGCAGAGTCCTGGGACTCTATTTCTACACTTCTCTTGGACAGGGACTTTGGGAATGGGGAGAAACTTAGCCTCAGCCAGAACTGTAGATCTGTCCCTTGCTCTCTTACCTTTAGACAGACCATTCTGAATTCTCTGAAGGGAAAGGGCCTTAGTATCTATTACAGTAGGGTTGGAAGAGAAACCTTTTCCTCCCTCTAGGTGCTGAGTCCTCAACTTCCTGTTCCAGCCTGAGAACTTCAGTTGCTATCCTGGTTCTTTCTACAATGCTGTATGATCCGGATAAACCCAGCCCCTGACTTGACTTTGCCTCCTGCCTGTCCTCTTATCTCCTTTTTAAAATACCCTTCATTCCAACCCTTYTTAGCCCACACTAAGAAAAAGAAGGGCCCTTCCCATTCCCCCTCATTTGGTTCATCCACCATTTTGACTGATTCCTTCCCTCTCTGGCAAACACATAGTAGTAATGTCAGGTGTGGYAAATGAATGGCTATTCTACCCAGATATATTCTGGCTTATTTGAATCATCTGATTCCTTTAGAATCCTTGGTTCACGAAGGTGCTTAGGAAAGAAGAAGGGGTGCAGCCTAGGTCCTTTTCCTGCAACCTCGTGGGGCAGTGTCTAATAAATATTCTGAGTGAGGAGTGTGGCCTGTTTTTCATCCAGGTCTTTTTCTGCTTCCTTAGCTTCTATAAGCTGCAGTGTACGGAATGTGATTAGTTTTATGTAACATCATGCTGGCCTTCACCACCACCCCCATTCCCCAGCTCAGTCTGCACCTCAGTTGGCAAAGGAGAATAGTTCTCTTTCCTCATTTTTCTTTTGGGTATTTCAATTTGAAAAGTGTTGCAATTGGTATTATATTTTTACTTTTCATTTTCATACTATGATTAATGTTAGTAATATATTGTTAACATGTTTTCTCAATTATTTATCTTTGAGCTTATATTGCCCTTCTCAGTGGATCTAGGGATCTTGGCTGCCATATGTTTGGTGGATACCCTGGTCAGCCTAGCTGGCTGTCCTTGTTCACTGGAAAATAATTCTTGCCAGAACAAATTCACATTCATCATCTGAGTCACTTTGAGCTACTGACATGTCACTTTCCCCTGGTTTAAAATTTTTCACTATTTAAAAGTCCCATACATTCTCTGGCCTTGGAAAAGAAGGAAATGTTCTTGAGGCCTTAGGCTATTTGGAAAAGTCCAGTACYATACCTAATCAGAGCTTGGAAGAACCCAGGTCTGAATGTGAGACTTCTACTTTGTGACACGTAGAAAAAGTACAAGGGGACTTGTGATGACGGTTATGTGGCCTGAATGCCAAAATTCTCTCCTTAAAGTTCCAGCCCCAAACTGGAAAAGAATAGAGAACAGGAAGGATGAATAAAAGGGCTCTGCTCTTTGAACTGTGTATACACTGTCCTGCCAGTTTTCTTTTCTGGTAGCCTGACCAAGGCTTTTAATCCATGGATTTAAAAGATRCCCTAGTCTACTTTAGCTCTGTTCCCAAGACACTCTTTTTCATTTTCATTTATTTTGATTGAACATGAGCAAATTGACTTCTGATTACTCTGATTCAAAGTACTATTTGAATTATTCTAGGACTTGTGGAGGGATAGAGCTGGGTACCCTATGGCAGTCTTTCTTAACCATGTATGGTGTAGAACCAGGTTTTTTTGTTTTTACACATCTAATTCTTCATATATCAAAACTGACAGGTATGGACTTTACCCTGCATTGAACCCATCTTGTAAGATTTTGTTTTTGTTTTAATACAGGGGATTGAAGCCAGAGGTACTTAACAACTGAGCCACTTCCCCAGTCCTTTGCCCAGGGCCTGGCTGAGTTTTTGAGGCTAGCTTTGAACTTGAGATCCTCCTGCCTMAGTCTCCTGAGCCATTGGGATTAGAGGCATGCACCACTATGCAAGTTTGACAACATCCAAACTGTCGAGACCCTGTTCAACAGGTTGAATCCATTGGTCATGTTCTTGGATATCACAACAATGTAAAATATTTAAAACTTTCTTAACACTCTCAATTTCTAATTCCTCATGCCACAAATTGGAGGTTGGAKCCTCTTCACAGACTAACACAAGTCTTCAAACCACCTTTGAGAAGCATTGCTCTGGGCCCTCTTTAGTCTTTTCATAGATCCTAGTCAAACATACATTTCTATGCTTGTGGAGTTCGCTCCCATGTGAGAGTTGCCCTTAGAGAACTTGTTCTACAGCAAGAATATATCACTGGAAGAACATCTCACATTTTTCTAGCCTGCCTTTTCTTCTGCTTAAAAATAACTATTGCAAAGCTTAGGTTTGATGAAATATTTATGCTGCTCTCGAATTTTATAGAAAATGCTTCTTTGTTCCAAAATTCTATATCTTAGATAATAAATTTGTGATTGTATGGATGGCTTCATGAATTAAGAATCAAATCCATACAGAATTTGTAAGATTAAGGATATGTTCCTGTGACATCTCTTTAAAGCCTCATGAAGTAGTTATACTGCTGAGATGGCTTTTGGGAGCTTGGAGAAAACAGTGGTCCACATTAAAAAAGACKAGAAGGCTTAAAGGAAGTGGGCATGTTGTACAACAATGAAAAACCTAACCAGCTGACCATATTCCTCAGAAAGGCCTGGGGCTTTTTTTTTTAAATAAAGACAATAGGAATAGGAAAGGCACTGAGGAAGGGTTACCAGCAACTTGAGAACTTTAGAAGTGGCTATCTGTAAATTGTTATAGAACTGTTTTTCTTTGTCATGATGGGATGATAGGATTTAAATTTTTTTTTTTAGTTGTAGATGAACACAATACCTTTATTTATTTATTTTTATATGGTGCTGAGGATCGAACCCAATGCCTAGCATGTGCTAGGCAAGCACTCTACCACTGAGCCACAACCCCCTACCTCCAGGATACCATCTTGACATAGCAAAGGATAGTTGGCAACATTTAATTTTAGAAGCAAGGTGGGTGAATTTCTGTAAGGGAAACAAGTTCAAACTAATTTTAACAGATGACTAATAGAACATGAGTGGTCTAGGAGTAAGGTGGACAGCCACGAGAATTTTAAACGAGAGGTGAAGAGCTTGAACCAAATACTATAATGAAAAGTCAAAATTCTTTGCTAGTTTCTAAGCCCATGACAGTCTATAGATTCACAAACTAACAATTGAAAGAGTTGTTTAGTTAACTACAAGTTAAAGTGGCTGGGGATGTAACTCAGTGTGAGTTATCTAGCATGCATGAGAGGAAAGAATATCCAGAAGAGTTCGAAAACAGGGATACAGGGTCTGAGTGGACACAGACACCCGGGAACCCAAAGCACCACACACTGCCTCCCCTCATAGTAGTAGTAGACCCACTCCCATTATATTAGGAAAATGTGCAGTCAGGACATAAATGGAATATTGGCCCAAATCTGCCTTACAGTGGGTCCAAAGACCCACTTTAAGCCAGGCACAGTGGTGCACACCTGTAATCTCAGTACATTTGGAAACTGGAGAAATGCCCRTTTTTGTTTTGAGAGAGGGTCTCATAAAGTTACTTAGGGCCTCACTAAATCGCTGAGGCTAGTTTTGAACTCATTCCTTCTGCCTCAGCCTCTTGAGTCGCTATGAATATATTCTTTCAATAACCTTCAGGAAGGAAAATTAGAAGCTGTTTGCATTATGAAGTATAGGCAACAGTCTATATGTACTCACTGTCTTAACCTAGAGTTATGTTAATATAGTCAAAAAGGACTTGAGTGCRGAAGGCTGAGGCAGGAGAATTGCAGGTTTAAACCTAGTCTCGGCAGCTTAGTGATGTCCTAAGCAACTTAGCGAGACCATATCCTTGGTACCAAAAAAAAAAAAAAATGGGTGAGTTGGACCTGGAAATTCTGCAGAATGTATGTTTATTTGCTATACCAGGGTTATGGAAATCAGGTATTTGAGGGTATGTTAGTCAAACCTAATGATCAAGTACTTTTCAGTTTCTTGATGACATTATATATATATATATATATATATATATTGTATATTGAGTGTGTGTGTATATATATATACATACACTCAAGATGGGAAATAAGGGTCCGAGGTTGTAGTAGAGCACTTGCCTAGCATGTATGAGGCACTGGGTTCGATCCGGCCACCACATTAAAAATAAAAAAGGTATTGTGTCCATCTACAACTAAAAAAAAAAAAAAAGATGGGAAATAAGTCCTGGAAAGGTGCACGGGTCTGCCACATTTTAGTCTATTTTGGTCTGAAGCATTCTGGAATATTCCCTCAAGTAATGGACAGGTTATCACAGAGCTCTTACAGTTTTAGAGGCAGCATATTCTTATCCTAAGGCAGCTTAGGAATGCAAGAAAGGGTTCAGCAACAGGTATTGGGGGGGGGGGCATGTCTCCTGGAAAATTCCACAGTACTAGAGGTATATGTGATAGGAAATGATCCTATGTGGACTCCTTGGCAATCCAGACTTCAAGGATTCTGGAGTAAGATGGTGACATCTTCAGCAAAGAAAGTTTTGAGAAGTGTCTTCTGGCAGGCTGTTAAACTCCAGTAGAGACTCAGTTCCTGGCTATGAGATATTAAGTGACTGACTGTATGATCAATTACCCATATAACTAGCTGGTTCTTGTCAGACCAAGTTGTAAGGTTAGGTGGATATTAGCAACAATCCATTTTACAACAGAAAAATATATTCAGGAAGAGGCCCAAGCAAACTTGGTGGCACAAGTAAATTAAATTGAACAAAGGGTCTCAGCCACCTTCCTGTGCTAGTTACTTTAGTTGCATTGAAATCTTTGCCTTAGCTCATACCTATGGCCACATGAAAATTCCTTCAGCTGTTTGACAGGAAGGAAAAATTGAGGTCTAGACAAGTTGGCTTTTTGCCTTGGGGAAAGCCAAATAGAGCCTACAGCCTCTCAGTAGCCCCACTCAGTAGTAGCTCTAAAGAGAGATGATGAGGACAAGTCCTTTCAAAGTGTAGGGTATCAGGTACAGTGGTACATGCCTGTAATCCCAGAGGTTCAGAARGCTGAAGCAGGAGGATTGCAAGTTCAAAGCCAGCCTCAGCAATTTAGCAAGGCCATAAGCAATTTGGTGGGCCCCTATCTCAAAATAAAAAGGGTTGGGCATATGGCTTAGTGGTTGAGAGCCCCTGGGTTCAATCCCTGGTACAAAAAGGG